ACATGTCTATTATAGACATTTATCTAGCATAGCCACACCATGGAGTACTATATAGCCATAAGAAAGGAAAAGACTGGACCTCCCTGGTGGCACAAGGCGTTAAGTCTCAGCACTATCAAGCTATCTGTAGCCACTGCAGCATGAATTCGATCCCTGGCCAGGGAGCTAAACCACATGGTGCAGTAGAATTCTCCTGTCTCGCCCTCTGCACCCCTCAGCAATGTATTTCAGTCAATCTGCCGGTTCTATTCTCCGCTCTATCTCTGGTGAATCCTCTCACCCCCCACACTTCTGGCCTATACCCCAGTTCTTGTACGCATAAATAAGTAAATTTTTTTTTTTTTAAAAAAGGAAAAAATTGCAGACATTTTCAACAAATGGATGGAATTTGAGAGATTGATAAATTGATAAAAATAAATACTGGACATTTATATAGCAGACAATTCAATAACAGAAAACACTTTCTAAAACCAGTGGATATCAATAAACATCCTGAGAACTCAAAGGATGGGATGGGGAGGGGAGGGAAAGGGAGAAAGGAATATCGGAGATGGTGGGGGCTATAAATTATAGCCCTTCATCATAAGACACTATTACACTAATTCCTATGTTAAAAAAAAAGAAATTAAATGTTTCCATAGATTTTCATTGCAGGGTTGGAAATGAGAAGTGGTATTCAAGATAAAAAATTTCTGAATATGGGAATTTGAGCTCAATTGGCTTATCAATCATATTTCAAGACAAAAATGAAGTACATGTAAGAACTTGGAGTTTATATACAAATATAAAAATAGCTAGAATACAGACATCAGAGAAAGAGGACAACATACATGCGAGCCACAGCTCAGTGTGACCCAAAGGGAGGAGGCTGGAGGGGCCAAGGGCAACCCTGAACCCGAAGGCTTGGAATGAGCTAGACAGCAGCCACGTGGTGGTAACAGAGGATTCTGAGTCCTTTTTGTGATCAAATGACACTATTTAATATTAATATGTCCATCTTATAATCAATCTGTAGTGAGAAAGCAGAGGTAACTATAGTATATAACAGACTATAATCTTAATGTAAAAACATTACATACCATTATACTAAATGATGGTGTATATACTCTGTAGTATATCTACATATACATATACCATGTGTATATATATATATATATATTCTTTGAAATATATACACACAATATCATATTTACTAAAAATAGGTAACATCAAATATAGTTCTATAAAAAAACACATAAATTAAGAAAATGGGACTTAGGTATATTATTTAACATAATAAACATTGCCCACCAAATAGCCAAAATCAGAAACCATTCATTGTGGTTGACTTTGGATCAGGAGCCTTGTGGATAGAAGAGGGGGAAAGAGAGGGAATAATTTAATTTAATGTCTTTATACAACTTGCTTTTTCCTCACATGCACATTTACCTCTAATTTAAAAAATGACTAAAATAAGGAAACATATCTATAAAATAATACTATAAAATAATATCTATAAAAATATGGAGTAGATCAATTTATTTTGACCTGGAAAGCTATCTATTATTAAATATTAAATCATAATATTTAACGGTGTTCAACTCAATATAAAACTGGTAAAGCATGTTCTCTATCTCCAAGGAATGCCTTTCTGCTGTCCCTTTCTGGTCTCTGCCCTACAAGTAACTGCTTTTGGAAACCTTCCCTTTCAGATTTTTGTAACATGCATTTCTCTATTTTTGCAGCGGGTAAGAGCAATTTTATGTGTTTCCAAGTAGCATGTGCAAATTCTCAGCTGTGAGGGATTCATCCAAGATGGACCTGGACAGAGGTGCTCAGGATCCGAAAGCTGGACACACAAACGCTTGGTGGACAAGCAGGTGGGGGAGAAGGCCAAGAATTCAAGTGTGGAGGCTGAAAGTCACCTCAGGGAGCTCCTGGTCCACCTCTCCAACTCACAGAACAGAGCATATGTGAGGCCGGAGAAAAGGCCGCACCACTGAATTAGTTTCCAGAAAAGAGAAGAGTCAGGAAGAGAGCCCATTGAGAAGGTGCAGGCAGGAAGGGAGGCCTGATGTAAGACCCCACAGGAAATCCTATGGGGAGATGGGGGGAGGTGTGTGAGGGGCGGTGGCCCATTGCAGGAGCAGGTCAGGATGAAGATGGCTTGACTTTGAAGGGAGACCTAGAAAAAATCAGACCAAACCCTGCTTCCTCAATGACCCCATCAGTTTAATATGGGGGGTAGGAGCATGCAGAGAGGGGCTTGGAGAGGTGCTGGGATTGAGCATATGCCCACTCTGTGGAGGGGCTTTCTAGTACATGATCTCATTCATCCTCACAGAAGCCCTACGAGGGAAAGACGAGTATCCCAATTACAGAAAGACAATGAGGGTTAGAAAACTTAAATGACTTAACTTGCCCTAAATCCTGAAGTCAGAACATGGCAGAGCTAGAAAAGGGGCCTGGGTTGGTCTAGTTCCCAAATCCCTAGCCCCGGGGAGTCAGGACTTCTTCAACAAGTATGAGTTAACTAACTCAAAGAAGAGAAGAGGCTTTCCCTAACTGGGACACACCTCCTCCATCTGGAATCTGCCCTTCACCCAGTCCAGGGCTATTCAGCCTTGGCTTGCTTTGGGGAGCTCTAGAATTTACTTTTGCCCATCAGGACTCTGAAAATTCCCACCTCAGAGGCTGTCAGCAATGGAGGATCTTTATCTCACACCTCCAAGCCCTGACATTGACCCTGAGGACACAGAGCCCTATCAGGCCAGGCCTTGGGAGGAGATGGGCTAAGTTGGATTGTGAGTGCAGGGAGGGGGAGAGAAGCTGGAGTCTTGGATTCTTGGTTTCTAGGTGCTCAACACCATATGGGTCTCCACCAACCTCAAGGGCACACTGATTGCTCCTGCCCCCCCCTCGGACGCTGCCCTGACCTCCCGCCATGTCTCCCTGGGTCTACCTCTGCCTTCGCAGAGCTTCTGACTTCAGGGGGAGGCAGCAGGCCCAGGAGGGTATGTATGTCAGTTAGGGTTTGTCGTTGACACGTGGAGATCATTAACGAGGCTTATTTTTAAATTGTAATTGCAAAATGTAAATGCTCCCCAAACTGATGTGTAATTGCTACCCCTCCACCCCAGCCCTTCCCCTCTGGTGCCAGCTTTGCAAGGAGAGAATTAGAAAATAAAAAGGGGGTGGATTATGTAAGCAAAACGATTTTAAAAAAAGAGAGCGAGAGAGCTAAGAATTTAAGTGAGACAGCTGGCAGCTTCTCTGATTGCCACACTTCCAGCATTAGCTGCAAAAAATCGTCCTTGCCGATTGCACCCACCCAAGCAACAGTGTCAACTGCACCCAGTCCCCAGAATGGAGCAGACTGGCATGAGCTTGGCAAGGCAGGGGCCAGTGGGTGTGCGAATGTGTATGTGTGTGTATGTTGGTGGGCGAGTGAGCTGTGGGGTGACGCCGGGGTGATATTTGAGGTGACCTCTCTCATCTATGGCAGCCTGCCATTCCATGGAAATATACCACCCAGGCAGGAGTCAGCAAGCCATCCGCTCACTTCCCTCCTTCCCCACATTCTACTGGGAAGGCAGGGCAGAGGGTACCCCATTCTTCCAGGCATGGTCTGTCCTGTTTGGACCCCAGCATCTGCATCCTCCGCCAGGAGAGAAAATAGACAGTACTAGGGAGATCAACAGGTTCAATCACCAGTTCTGGAGAAAGTCACTGGCTAACAAAACCATCTCCCAAGAGTCTCTAAGCCTTGTCCCTTTCTCCTCTCTTTTTTGCCAGTTGCATACCTTCTTCGAGTCCTCCCCATAGTCGTGGTCTACCGTGAACTCCCTTCAACATCAACTGTGACACCAGCTCTGAAGGTTGTTGCAGAACTGAACAGCCTGTCCCCCAGGAGGGCATGGTCCAGCCCACACCTGGGGAGAAGACTGGACACCTCTGCACAGGCCCTGGCCTCCTGCTTTCATCTCTAGGAGCCCAGTGGGCTGCACCCCTTAATACGCCTCAACACAGAGCTCTCCAAACAGCCAGAGGGCCTAGGCTTCTGGACAAGCATCACCGGCCAGTTCTGCAACCCTAGATTCGTGGGCCTCTTGGACATCTTGGCTATCTAGTGGGGAGCCAGGCCAGAGACAGTCATCTTTCTGGCTCACTCCCCCAGCTCTCCAGGGGAGCCAGTTTTGGTGAGCAATTTGGCAATAGCAGCTGCCCCCAGGAAGAAGGCAGGTGGGCTGTAAGGCTGTAGTGGTCCTCAGACACCAGGAAATCTTACAAAATCCTGGGCAGGGTCCTTTGGAATTGGGACCCAATCTCACCATAAACAACAGATTCATCCCTTATTCAGTACACAGGAGAGAAAACAGGGTTGTTTAGGATAACTGGATTTCTAAATCCTAGCCTATACCGCTATTTATGTCTGCAAGGTCTTGAAGTTACTTAGGGGATTTAAAAAAAAAAACAAAAAACAACACTATCTGATAAGAAGATTAAATGAGCTTCTCTATCCAAAATGCTTTCTAATTCTGAAGAATTATTTCTCAGAGTTCATCGAACACCTGGGATGCTGTTCCCTCTGTGTTTATCAAAGACAGTTAGGGTGTAGATTCCTGGTCTTACCCCAACTCTAGGAATCAGATTAGCTGGTGTGAGGTCCAGGAACTGCACCTCCTCCCAACCCTTGGTGATTCCCGGTCATGGGCTCGCTCCAGAGGGATGAATAAATATCATCAGCACCATGGTTGTAAGCAACAGCTCTTCCACCTGCATCAACTACACTTTACAGCTCACAGGCTGCTTAGAAGGAGATGGCTCTACAGGAAGAAGACGTAGCTTCACCATGCCCTCCAGGAGCTAAGGAGGAGAGCCATGTAAAAATAATACTTAGCCACGAATATGCTAAGTGTCAGCTAATGTTATGGGCTAGTTCTCCAGGCTTCCCAAAGAAAAGATCACTGCCCATCTGCCCAGAGAGTTTAGCTACGTGTTAAAGGAGAAGCGTTTCTTACTGTTTGGCTGATCCAGGCGGCCTCTGGGATGGTCCTCAGGGGACTCCCTCCCTCTTCTCACTTCCAGCTGGGCCAGAAATTCTTCCTGTCCACTGGAGCCAAAGCACCTGTGAAAAAGGCAGAGCAGCTCTCAGAAGGGAAGGCTAGAGGGGTGAGCAGAGACCCAGGGGGTGCCCTGCTCTGTGTGCTGCCCCTTCCTCCAGGCGTGGCTGCAGGGATATAAAACATTTGCTCTACAGACCTGGCTACCTTATTACCATTCAAGTCTCTCTCCTCCGAGTGGCAGCTTGGGCTACCTCGCCATGGGAGAGCTCAGAATCTTGTCATAGCTGGAAGTGTCCTGTTGTCACCTGTCTGGTTTCCTGGCACTAGACAGGTGACAGCCCTCTCTATCCCTAAGTACGGGCAGGTCTCTGAGTGACATCTGGGCCTCAGTAAGGCCACTACTGCCTTTTTGTTTTAACCTGTAGGGGACTTAGGGGAAGGGTAGCAGTCTCAACATTTTTAGGTATGCAGATGAGTTTCAGATCCTTCCCCAGTGGCTGGGGGTCTGGAGTGACCCGGATGGGGTGGAGGGAAGGTGCCTGCAGGCAGCAAGAAGGAAGAGTCAGGATGGTCATGGACCCAAAGCAGAAATTAGCAATAAAGGACAGTGGTGGCCTAAACATGGTCTTGGCTGCCCGGCTTTTTATTTTTAGATTTAAGTGAATTCATTTTGTTTTTCAGTATCTCAACTGGACCAAGGTGTCCAGAAATTGAGCTTGGTAGTCAGCGCTGGGATAGGGCCTGACCTGACACTTTCCAATCACATCCATTTCTCCTTGTGGATCAAGTTGCTAATTTGGAGTTTATGCTTGGGATCATGGGGGAGAGGGTGTAGCAGGGGCTGCAGGTTCAGGGCAGCAGGGCCAAGCACCCTCAGCTAAGAACCCCAACCCCACCAGAGGTAAAATCATCTTTAACATTCACAGTTCCTTCCTAGTTAACACCATCTTAGTCTCCCTGTAAAAACACATTTGCACCTCAGTAAAGAATGTAATTAAGTAGTGACATGACAACAGGAGGAGTTAAAGTGGTTGTCTGGGAGCTGGGGGGTGAGGGGGGATGGAAATTTAGATATTTGCCTGAACAAGACTTTCCCGCCTTCTTTTCGTGTGTGTGTGTGTGTGTGTGTGTGTGTGTGTGTGTGTGTGTGTGTGTATTCGCAAGAGTGAGAGTGTGCACTTCTGGGAGGTGAGGGTGGCAGAGGTACAACATCCTGTCTCCTGTGCTGCAGGAGACAGGAAGCTGGATGTGTGTGGAGGATGGATGAACTGAGAGACCTCCGAGGGAAGGCAGGGTGGTTAATGAACTTCCATTAACAAAATCTCTCAGGGTTAAAATAAAGCCTGCTTGCCCACACCGAGACTCCTCCAGGAGGAGCTGAGGGATACTGAGACACAGTCAAAGCAGCAGCTGGAGGCTCCGGACCCCCTGGACTTTGGTGACCAGGGAGAAGCCACCAAGAGTCAGGGGCCAAGACATCAGGCCCCTCTGGGAGAGACGGTGTCCTGAGCGCCATCCCTGCATCCTGCTCCTGCTTGTCCCTCCTGTGGCCTTGTCTGTGAACTCTGCCAGTGCCTCCCAATTCTCCGGTCCCCTAGGCAAGAGACCTGGGAGGCTGTTCAATTCCCCCTCTGCTGGACCCCTACCTCACTGAGATCCCCATCACTCCACCTCCCACACCTCCCATCCTTCCCAATCTAGGCAGAAATAGTCTTTTCCCTTTCCCCGGGCCAGTCTGGAGAGGCCCCTCATCCCTCAACAAGCCCCTCTCCTCTACCACCAGCCCCACCTGCTACCTTTAGATGACTTCACTGCATCCCCCAGGGCCTTATGCCTGCCAGGCACTGCCAACCCAGCAATGGGTGCCTGGCTGCCCTGGCTGGGCTTACAGTTGTACCACCTCCTACTCGACTCCTTACTCATGGAGGCGCCCAGTCATGGTCCCTGATGGCATCACACCAATTTCCATCCAGTCTTTAACACCTTTTGAGACTCACCTTCACCCCTAGGCTCCCAACCCTCCATCCAAACACCACTGCTGCTATTCTCCAGAGCTGTCCCTCAGCCTCCCACTGCTCCTGATGTCCCACTGCTCTATTTCCCACCTGACAAGACCCTCATTGCTCTTCACTGTTCAACTCAAACATTCTGGCTTTTTCCTCTATAGCTGGAAGTAATTTTATCTCCGCTGTTTGTCATTGTCTGAAAGCTGTTGCCAAGCTCAGTGCTTCTTTATGCTATGGTTACCCTCTGTGTTTGTCACCTCTTTCCAAACGGCAACATCCTCATGGGCAGAGATGCTGCCGTGCCTGTGTAAGTCTTTCAGGGGCCTCCCTGGTGACACAAGTGGTTAAGCATCAGCACTGTGAAGCTGTCCACAGCTACTGCAGCATGAGTTCAATCCCCGGCCAGGGAGCTACCCACATGGCGCAGCAGACCTCTCCTGACTCGCCCACTGCTCCCCTCAGCAGTGTATTTCAGTCAATCTGCCTGTTCTGTTCCCCACTCTGTCTCTGGTGAATCCTCTCACCCCCTGCACCTCTGGCCTGTACCTCAGTTCTTGTATGCATAAACAAATCTTAAAAAAAAAACACCAAAAAAACTCACAAACCACTTTCATAGGTAATACCTTCTGTAATTCTTGAAACAACCTTTGGAGGTTGATGTTTCAATATAACTCATTTTTATTACCTTTACAAAATAGCATGTGCTTATTGTACAAAAAGAAGGAGACTCTTAAAGTTAATTGTAATCTTACATCACAAAGATAACCAGTTAACAGGTAGAATAGAATTGTTCCTTTTTAAAAAGCAGGATCATACCATACATACTGTTCTGTCACCAGCCCTTTATATTTAGTATCATATAATAAATGCCTTTGCATATGATAAGGGAAATATATGTTATAATCCTAGTGACTCTATGGCATCCTATTTATGGGTATACTATAATTATTCAGTCAAATTTTGCTATTATAAGTGAGTAATGCCCATTCTCATAGCTGAATTTTGCTCCAGATTTGATCATTATCTTGGATAAATTTCTAGATGTGGGTGGCTCGATCCACAGGTTTTTTTAAAATATTTTTTTTTGGACCTACTTATTTGTGAATCTTGTGTTTTCATTTCTAAAAATATGTTGTGCTTATATTACTCATAGGGCTTCAATCGATTTTTCAGTGGAGGTGTCATTGACATATAACAGTATGCTAGATTCAGGTATATATGGATGGCTTGATATAGGTATACATTGCAAAAATGATTGCCATATTAGTCTAGTTAGCCTCCGCTATGCTTATATTAAATAAAATTCACAAGTTGCTTGCAGGAAGGTCATACCAACTTACATCTCTATCTGCCGGGTATGAGAGATGCTTGTTTCCCTTGTCAGGGGATGGTTCCCATTTTATAGATGTGAATAACGAGGCTGAGGAAAGTCAAGCACTGGACTAGAAAACAGCCAGCAAGTGGCTGACCCCAAGCATTTTGCTCTTCCAGGCTCCCTCCTTCTCTTCCTGTACTCCTTACCAAGCCAAAGAGAGCGTCTGCAGCAGTGAGTGCTAAGTCCCGGGCTTTGAGTCGTGGGTGGCCATTCCCGGGGATCCTCGGGTGTCAGCCTCCTCAGCCGCATTTCCCGAGTGTCTGAGGCCTACTTGGCAGATGAGAGTTCTGTTCTCGGGCAGCTTTTTACTACTCCCTCCTCCCCTCTTCTGGGCAGGTGCAAATTGCTTCAATTTAGCCTACACATATTAAGAACCTATCATGTGGTGGACCTGGGCCCACAAAGATGGTACATGCACACTCCTTGTCTTTGAGGTGCTCACAGTCTAGAGGATAAGGAAATAATTATACACTGTGTACCTACTGCTGTGCTTGCCTGCCAGCCTCTGCCTGCCAGCCCCAACACCCCTGCTCTGCCGGGGTGGCAGGGTCCCGGTCAGGGCTGTGGCGGCAGGAAGCCCTGTCTATTGGTGTGTCCTTAAGCCTTTGCTTCTAGTCATGTCCTTTCTGCACAGAGGGACCAGCTCCTTCCTGATGTCCTGCTGCAGCTGCCTTTTTGGGTCTGTCTTTCTGCTCGAGTGGCAAGGCTGCCCCAGCCCCACCCCCACTCCTCAGCACACGGAGGCACGGGAGCCCCTCAGAGAGAAATCACCAGTGTGAGGGAAGAGAAGCCAACTCTGCTCCTTGTGCAGGGACTAGTGGGATATGTGTCTGAGAGAAGCACCTTGATTTGCCCCAAGGTGACACCAGTGGGCCCTACTCGGGCCACCCCTTCAGGGCTACCATATACACAATCTTTCCCTTCCCAGAACTGACAACTATCTAATTCCCAACAGCCTGGAGAAAGCTTCAAGGCAAAATAATCGCCTGTAATCTCCTTTCTGACACTGCCAGCTATTCCTCTGAGCAGAAGGAGGGCAACTCACATGACAGGAAGCTCCGAGGAGAAGGAGAGTGTCTGGGGTTGGCAGGGAGGAGATTTCCAATGGGTGCAGCCACCCTTCCCACCCCCAGCCGCCTCTGTGAGCCATGCTGCCCCTCCACGCTCATCCCTGCCTTGCCCTGCAGGAGGGGGCTGGATATATCTTTTTAGATTATGAGCAGAGATATCCCCACCACCATCCCTTTTGTCTTTTTTTTTTTCCATTCATTGTAACATCGATCTTTTTTCTCTAATGTAAATATTTTATTTTATGTAATTCTTACATCTTTTTTCATCTTTGCACAATGTATGCATTTTCATTTTGGTTCAGAGTCTCTTCTTCTAGAGGCTAATGTGTGGCTTGAAACACCACTGCCCTGATCCTGAGTCTGGCCTTGGGCTCAATTTCCAGGCAGCCTGACAGTTAGGCAGCAGACAGACAGACACAGAGATGGATGGATGTGACTGATGATGGCTCAGAGGTTTCAGGGGATGCAGAAGAGAGCAGGAGCTTCATCTTGAAGATAAAGTTCCTTCTATTCCCTCAAGATCCCCAAGAAATAGAGCTCACCCCCAACTCTTAGCTCTGATCAAGAGCTGCCTGTTCAACTTCATCTTAACAGGGCACCCTCTGATGCAA